CTCGATCCCAGGACCCTGGGATCATGGCCTGAGCCGAAGGCAGACGCTTAACAACTGGGCCACCCAGGCGCCCCCAGAGGGGCCTTTTAAGGCACCGGCATTTCTGGTCCTGTGAATCCACTTTGTTGTATTCCCTGTGTTCCCGCAAGGGTCCAGGTTCACCTCCTCCCCCTCACATCCACGCCTGACGCTTCAGTCCGGGCAGGGGTGAGGGGTGGGGAGAGTCTGGGGAGTTGGCAATGGGTTTCTCAGGGGAGGCAGACCCAGCTTCCTTTTCTGTGATGAGGCCGGGAGCTGCCTCATGGTCCCTTCCTTCTCCCCCCCAGACCGAGGGAGCTCGCGGTGCGGCTGGGCTGTGGCCCCTGTGCCGAGGAGCAGGCCTTCCTGAGCAGGAGGAAACAGGTGGTGGCCAGAGCCCTGAAGCAGGCCCTGCAGCTGGATGATGACCTGCAGGAGGACGAGGTCTGTGGGCCGGGCTGCATGGGATAGGCTTGCTCAGGCCCAGAGCTGAATGATTGTTTCTTCACCAGAGCAGAGTGCGGCCACCTCCTATCTGCCTGGCCCTGCTCTGCTTCCCTCTCACGTGATGTTTTCGGGCGCCCGATGCCATCAGATGCAGAGCACTGCACGCGGCACCTGGAGCTTGTAACTGCCCCCACCCCGGCCGCCCCCGGGCTAGCTTTCCTTCTCCTTGTTTCTTGATTCTTGGCCTGGTCCAGGTTTTGGGACTTGGGTCCAATCTGACTGATCAGTGAGATGTGTGGGCTGAGGGCTGCCCGCCGGCCCGGGGCATCTCTTTCCAAGAGGGAAAGGGGGTGCTGTGTGGGAGACTTTTGAGGTGGCCGTGGGGCTTCCAGAAAGTGATTATGAGACTCCTCGGGCTAGGGGTGAGGAGAGGACGTCTTGTACTTGGCCATTTTTCCTAGAGTTCTTAAAACCAGACAAGCCCAACCCTTGAGAGGCTACTTCTGATTAGATCCTCCTCAGCAGGCCTGACCAGCACTGGTTCCAAGAGCCCTGATCAGCTGTTGACTGGCCTGGCTCTTCTGTCTTCCAGATCCCCGTGGTAGCTGTTATGGCCACCGGTGGTGGGATCCGGGCGATGGTTTCCCTCTATGGGCAGCTGGCTGGACTGAGGGAGCTGGGTCTCTTGGATTGCATCTCCTACATCACAGGGGCCTCGGGCTCCACCTGGTGAGCTGGCTGCAGGTTGAGCGCAGGAGTCTGGGGGTGGCAGTGGTAAGGCTCAGTGCCTCTGACCCAGTTGGGAGAGCTGGGAGAAAGGATGTGCCAGAGGGAAACCCGCTCAATGGGACCACTGGGAGGTGCCTGCTAGACTGTTGTCCTAGGATAGAGAGCCCACGGTATACAATGACCCCCTGGGCTTCGGCTTTTCCCAGGGCTTTGGCCAACCTCTACGAGGACCCAGAATGGTCTCAGAAGGACCTGGCAGGGCCCACCGCGACACTGAAGACACAGGTGACCAAGAGCAAGTTGGGCGTGCTGGCCCCCAGCCAGCTCCAGCGGTTCTGGCAGGAGCTGGCTGAGCGTGCCCGCCAGGGCCACCCGACCTGCTTCACCGACCTGTGGGCCCTCATCAGCGAGGCACTGCTGCACGATGAGGTGCGGGGAGGGACGTGGCCAGGGCATGGTCTGAAGGTGGGGAGCAGCCCTGGGCAGCAGGGGTCTGGCAAAGGTCTCAGGCACCAGAAAGCCACAGCTTTAGGTTCAAATCCTCTCCGTCCACCAGCCCCATGACCACACACTCTCAGCCCAGCGGGAGGCCCTGAGTCACGGCCAGAACCCTCTGCCCATCTACTGTGCCCTTAACACCAAGGAAAAGAACCTGACCACCTTTGAATTTGGAGGTGAGTAGCCCTGGAGTTGAGAGCTGCGCTCTCGTGCTGGCAGGGTGAGGGAGAGCTGGGCCTGTGCGTAGGAGATGGGTGTTACACCCACCCCTTCGGGGCCAGGTCCCATGCTTTCCAGAGACTGTCATCCTCCCAGAGTCACTCAGGCTTCGGGAGGGGGTTAGGTCCATGCTCAGGGTGCCTGCACCCAGCCTAAGCCTCCAGGTCGCCAGGCTGCCCTGATGTGACGCCTGTGGTGTTTGAGGGTGCTGGGGGTCTGAATCCCACCGTGAAGCTGTGTCGTCTCCTCACAGAGTGGTGCGAGTTCTCCCCCTATGAGGTTGGCTTTCCCAAGTATGGTGCCTTCATCCCCTCTGAGCTCTTTGGCTCCGAGTTCTTCATGGGGCGCCTGACCAAGCGGCTTCCTGAGTCCCGAATCTGCTTCCTTGAAGGTGAGGGGTTGGGGGGCTGGAAGGTCATGGAAGCGGGGGTAGTGGGGAGAATGGGCCTGGGGAACTCCACCTCTCTGCTCAGTCACGGGGACGTTTCCTGGTCTAGGATGGGCTGTGGGGAAGGGCCAGGTTGTGATGGGGTGGGAAACTCTCCCCCTCTGGTCACCTCTGTTCCCCTGATGTCCCCTTCTCAGGTATCTGGAGCAACCTGTATGCAGCCAACCTCCAGGACAGCTTATACTGGGCTTCAGAGCCCAGCCAGTTCTGGGACCGCTGGGCACAGGATCGGGCCAACCTGGGTAGGTTCCTGGGCTCCTTGGAAGGAGCTGGAGAGACAGCCACTAGGGAACCTGGGGGATGGTCCGGTGGCCTTTGGGAGTCCACAGAAGCTAGGGTAAAAGTTCAGGGGTCCCCCTTTCCTAAAAGATGCTCCACTTTCCGCTTTCTTGACTGTGCAGACAAGGAGCAGGTCCCTCTTCTGAAGATAGAAGAGACTCCCACAGGGGCCGGCAGGATTGCTGAGTTTTTCACTGACCTTCTGACACGGCGCCCACTGGCCCAGGCCACCCACAATTTCCTGCGAGGCCTCCATTTCCACAAGGACTATTTCCATCATCCTTACTTTTCCGCCTGGAAAGGTATCTTTTCTCTCCCTGGTCCCAGTTCTCCAAGGTCTGCCCATGGCCACCTGAGCCCTGGGTCCCTGGTCCAGACACCCCCACCCTCCATCCCCCAAGCTCCTTTGAGCTTAGTTCACTGGGCTGCCTAGCCCGGCAACCCTTTTTCCTCTCCTTATAGTGTGGATCAGCGCCCATCTGTGGGGTCTTGGGAAGTGCCAGGGCTACTTTGGCAGGAGAGGTCAGGGAGCAGAGGGCAGGGTTGGCTTCTACCACTAGCAAGGAGCTAGCGTTAGGCTAGAGGGGTCTGGAGGCCTCGGCACCAATGATAGCTGCTTTTTCACCCCATCCCCTTGACCTTTCCAGCCACCAAACTGGATGGGCTCCCCAACCAGCTGACACCTGCAGAGCCCCACCTTTGTCTGCTGGATGTTGGCTACCTTATCAACACCAGCTTCCCGCCCCTCCTGCGGCCCACACGGGATGTGGACCTCATCCTGTCGCTGGATTACAACCTCGGAGGAGCCTTTCAGGTGGGCTGGGGCGGGGGCAGGCTAGAGAGGCCGTGGTGACCCCAGGCCTGGACTGACATCCTGGCTCTTGCCTCCAGGGACATCTACCTTAGAGTCCAGGATCTGGTCCAGCTTCCCTGAGAGGCTGAGACAGGGACACCATGGGAATGGCATCCTATGAATTGTAGCTCCTGTGAATTTACCACCAGGGGAAGTTACAGTGACAGGGAGATGGTTTTTTTTTTTTTTTTTT